CTCTCAGCTGGTTTTAGACCTAATATGAAATTTAAAGTAACAGAAAGAAACCTTAAATAAATATAGCCATAAGAAACAAAAAGGAGGTTATTAGATCACCTGGACACAGTTGCCATGGCAACTTGATCTGATCCTGTCAGGCAGAGTTATTAATATCAAACAGATCTGACCATTAATCAAAGGAACAAAAACAAAGATAGTCTCATTGGCTTATCCATCACAAGTGATTATTGAGATAAAATTGGCAAAAATGTATCATTTTTGCAGCATTTACAGTACCGAGCAATCCAGATTGTGCAGATTGTCCATCCATAAGTTGTAATTGTGGTACTTCAGCACCTGTCTAGTAGATTAGAGAGAGCATAGAGGGTAAAAAGGTTGGGTTTTTAAGTAGCAGGCAATTTCAAATGCGACATTTCTAACAGCTCGTAAACCACAAAGTGTTTCTGTGCAGTTTTTCATATAGGTACAGCTGCAGAAGAGAATGGAAGATAACTTCAATCAGTGATGGGGAAAGACAGGACAAGAGGAAAACAAGAGAGATTATTTTAGGTACCGACTGCTCACTGACACTTGATACACTGGAGATTTAAAGCTAACTGTGCTGTATGAAGTTTATGGTGATGCACTATGTATATAGCTCATATAACCTCTGCTTATCTTGTTGAACTGTTTTATTTCTCCTTCCTCAAAATCAGCTCCCAATTCAAGCATCAACTTTATTGCAAAAACATTACTTAGTTTCTTTTTTGTGAAAGATTTACTGTATAAATGGGTCAAAATGCACAGGACAACTTTTATGGGGCTTGGTCTGAAGATTATTTGTGCAATGTTTTGCAAAGACATGACAAAAAATTTTGACTTTTTAATAAGCTTTTCGCTTTTTCTTAAAAACTTACTGGTGGGACTTGGGTTTTCAATGCACAGACATGAAATTTGATGAAAAGAATATGGTTGCTGGGCCTGGTCAGTGTACTAAATTTCAGAAATTTCTGTTTAGGGTCTCACACAGACTTTACTGACAGCAGAAAGATGAAGAAAGCAGGATTTAAAAAAAAGGTAGAAATGGTAGAATGACTACACAACTTTGCTGCTTTGCCCCCAAACACAGGTGATAGCAGAGACAAAGCTTTCTGTGTAGCTCCAAAACGTTTTCCTAAAAAAGATCCTCATGCAGATAATCTGTTTCTCTGCAGGCTGTAGAGGAACGGCTGTGTAGATATGGCTGGCAGCCAGTGATGAATACAACTTACTGTGAGTTATGCCCCAACTACCAAGAGTTTGACCTTGTGTTGTAGAACCACACCCTCTAATTCATATGAGCCATATACTTGTAAAAACCACATTCTTTAAATAGCCCGCTGTCGCCAAAGTGATTGAATATTTCAGGGCAGCATTAATCAAGCTGGTAATTTTGTTTATAAAAGTTATTTGCTTCAAAAGTATCTATCATTGTCTGTGTTTTTATTGCTGCCTGTGACTTCCTATATGAATCAATTGGACAGAAACACTCAAGCACTGCTGGAACTTAACAAGTCCCCCTGAGTTTAATGTCATGCACATTATATTTATTTGCTCATGGATTGCCACTAATTTCCTACATTTATCTTCAGCGCTCTGTTTGTCTCTCTGTGTTTTTAAGGACTGACACCCTCTGAGGTTGCTGCTCCCTTTAACCTTTAACACCACAGTGTATAATAACTCTTACAGTCTGACAGGTCAACTGAGGCGTCGCGGCTGGCCCCTTGCTGTGGGTTAGGGCTGAGCCTTTTTATCATACTACCTACCCTGTGATGGATGAACCTCGCAACAAACTGGCGAGAGGACTAACAGCGTTGTTCAGAGAAGGGGATAAGGTGTTGCAACAAATAACGCCTCGCTGAACTCCACTTCCGTTTTGCTGCCCCTGGCTCCAGCCTCATTTGGCTTCACTTTGGGCTGTGCCCACAAAGTACACAGTCTTATGGAGTTTATTACAGGTAATAGTCCACTGTGCTCATGTCTGATAACACTTGTGTTGAGTATCTTACTACAAACTCGGGAGATATTTCTAGCTTTTATGGTTAAGTTGGCTTTAAAATGACAGAAATTGTTATTTATTTGAGGCATGGCACTACACAAACATTTTCTATATTTTAGAGATATTAAATAAATGTGAAGTAAGAATGGATCTGATGTGTTTTGGAAACACATTTATCAAACGCAGCAGAGTCATATTAAGCCTCAAAGTCACAGTGAACCCTCTGCCAGGAAACTCAGAGTCACAGAATCCATAAGTGTATGTGATGTGAATAACGACACAATCCTACACTGGCTGAGGTTTTACATGCGTTCAGCATCACTGCACAACAAGCCAAATGGACTCCAGATCCGGGCGCCTATAATATATTTAATGGATCATTGGAGGCTGGCTCTCCAAGCCCCTGTGTTGGGATTACAAATGCTTGGACTGAGTAAAGGAAAAGATTCTCAGGTTTGTTGCTTACTTTAAAAGTATGGAAGAGGGAAGTTTAGGGGCGTTCAAAAGTGAAGTTTCGGTGAGGTTATAACAGGATAGCCTTGCATAAACCTAATTGCGGTCAGCATAAAAGGTGATGATTCAGTTCAAATCACAGTATTCAAATTGAACACACTTGAAGAACAAAGAAAAAAGTGACTACAGTACAATCTCAAATCAAATCAAATGTCCAGAAAAGACACCTGGGAATGTGGTCACAGCTGGGACAGCTACAGTTTCGGGTTTCTTCCCATGTGACCAAACTTCTGCCTCCACCTGCGCTTGGTCAGTCACCCTGGGGCTGAGCGCCTTCAGCAGGGAAAAGGCTTTCCAAGCCCCTATTTGATTTATTCAGTATTTGGCTAACCTTGCTCTGAACCTGCCCCAAGAGATTTCCAACCATTTTAGTCCTCCTTTTCCAGCATACACGCACTGCATGCCTCCTCGACCTAGTTCCATCCCAACATGCTTCTTCTTCTCACCCCGCTTTCGCAACAGCCCACTAAGAGAATGAGAAACAGGCCCTTGAAGGAGGCTCGGGTTCACTCTCAGCAGTGCCCGTCCCCCTCCCAACCCCACTGTGGGTCACCTACTGATCACAATGTGCGGCCCTATCGTGAGTGCTCAGGAGGGCCTTTATGGTTCGCTGGGATTCAAATGAATGTTTATGAGCCTTGTCTAGCAGCAAAAGGCCAGGCACTATCCCAACTTTTACAGCCTCTCTCATGGGGTCGCTTTTGGTTCTTTGACTTGTGCTCTAACAGATATGGGTTTCTTTCTCTGAGTTTGTGTCGGTAGCCCTTCATGCTTTCATTGCTAGGGCTTAGCGCTCTGCTCTGAAAGGAGCAATGGTAAAGTTATTTGTGCATGGATTCTCTGTGTTTCACAATTTTACTTGTAAGTCATTTTAGTGTTCGCTGCTTTCATAACCACCACATTTGAATTCATCATGCTGCACATGCTCTGTCCTATGTAAAAAGCATTGGCTTCATGATTAACCTCACAGCAAGGAAGGAAATAGCACAGCCTATGAAAGAGCTTGCGCTCTGTTGGATTTTCACTGAACATTGCTCTTTGCTCTGATCTAAGAAGATTAGTTATGGTCCACAAGTAACAAACAAAAAGAATAAAAGCAGCAGGGCCTTATCCAGAGATAAGACTATATGTAGGTGTGCGCGTTTTATGACAACACCAAACTTTTATCTAATGTATAAAAGGAAAAACACTTTTTTGTCAATTAAAACTAATTGTCTTTTTTTATGTTGCAGTGGGGAGTGAGGTATAAAAACTGTCCTTCATCTTGATGAGTAGTTTTCATGTTTGAGTCTGAGTCAAATGTGAACAATTCAGACATCTTAAAGCAGTTTATCCTTTTAAAGAAGGCTCAACACCCGAGGTTAAAACTGCAGCAGAGTATGGTATTTTCAGTTTTATTACATCCCTTTCAGTGAATCAGCCTAGGTGAGGTCAGATCTTTGCCTCATTTCATTAAAAAATAACAAGGTTGGATATAGTGTGCCATCTGAGATGTAAAAGAGATTAGAAACTCTCTTTTTTTTCCATGTAAAGTATTTTAACCTGAGTTTTGTTTCTCTTTAGGTTTGGTTGACCTTTACCCACTTCAGAAATAATCTCTATGTAGCTAATGGCCAGTTTATTATATCAAATAACCTGATTAATGCACTTATTTTGAACTGGGATATCTTCTGAAGTATGGCTGTGTCCTCTGAATAAATACAGTTTTATTCAACATGAAAAATCTGAAATGCTAAAAAGAGCTGAAAGAAATGTATCAGCACCGAAATGGGATGTATAATCTAAGGCCTCTCCTCACCTTTGAAACTGCTGCAGGCTTTTATTCACATTATATTAGCAATGATGGAATAACAGGTAATTCTTCCCTATTTGGCAGAAATGTTAAATTGGGAGCTGCGGTTTTACGGTGGATGCTGTTCATTTTCAGTTCCAAAGCGAGTAAGGTTTAGCAATTCATCCACCAGTGTAAGCGCCTTCCAGTTTTATGAAATGCGTTTTTACTACTTAAATAATATCCTCAATCAAAAGGTAATTGTAAGACACTGGCAATGACAAATCTCATCCATTATAATTTTCCACAGCTCCAATTCTTTCTTTTGTGCTAAAGCACTGGGACATTTTGAGGTTTAATGCAGTAAAACAAAAGAGCACCCATACTGTCACATCATTTTTGTCCTGGAATATAAGCCTCTCAGGTTTTAGTAATTCAAATCACATTTATATAATCTAACACAAATGTGCAGCAACTGCAGACATCTTCAGATTGCTTGGTTAAAAGCCAAGCTAATGAAATCAAACCTGACGTCATCTTAGCAACAGAAGATGTTGCTAAGATGAAATTAAAAATTACTTTAATTTTGTTTTAATAATTAAAGCCTTGATGAATGAATGTCTGCAATACGCACAATAAAGTTTTTTCTGGCTGTTCACATTCATTGAATGCAATTAAAACCATTGTGCAGGCATTAGAAGGGCCTGACTGACTTGTTTTGAGTTCATTGTGTTTATTGAGATTTACACTATCCCCCCTGTACCATTTTCTGACAGCAGAGAACAAACAAGAATATGCCCCACATGGCCCCCATGAGTGCATTTTATGTTTTGACAACATCGTCTGTCACAGTCACTGATCTCATGCTTGGAATAAATCAAAGCTGTTATCGCACTGCCATGGGAGTCAAAACCCTGATAGAATACAATGTCTACCGCCCAAGTGTTCACTTTTTCTATTTTCATCATGTACAAATGGAGAAAGTGCAATTCTAAAACTCGATTTTATTACCTTGTTTTGATTCAAAGACATATTAAAAGAATTTAAAAAAAAGAAAAAAAAGAAGTAAAAACAGGCGACAAAATATGTGTCAAACTCCCAGAATAACTACTGGTATAGAACTATGCATGGCTTCAGATCAAAGTGAGTCCTCCATACTATATACATATACATAGGATCAGGGTGTATCGAGCAGTTTATCAATTACTTGTAACTGTAGAAGCGACACCCTTGCATGTGTTTGTCTTCACTCTATCATGGGACCTGCTCCACTTTCACATGTGTAAAGGTCCATATTCCCTTCATCACACCCGAGAACTGTTGAGGTCGCTCTCATATTGCGCACAGTCCAGGTTCATGTCCTCCCTTTGAATGTGTTCATGCAGGTGTAAGTCCCAGAAAACTTGTGGATTTCTTCAAGTGCAACTTGTGGCACGAAGCTAAAGACAGACGAAAAACACTAGTGTCAGCATGTTAATCGTGAAGTAGAAAATACAGCAATAAAAACAAGATAGCACATGAAATCTCACCTTTTGAGAATGACAAGAGCGTGCATTGTCCATGGCAGGTAGAGGAAAGCCTTGTCAGTTCTGACTGCATCAACAGTCCTCTGGGCAACTACTTCAGGTTTGAGGGGTGGAAAGAGCTGGGGAAACCTGGGAAAAAAAAAAATGACAGTTTGAGATAAAGTGATGTTGTTTCTGGGACACTCTGGGAAAATTTTGATTATATTTTCTATCTGCTTCAAGTTTTATCTGTGCAACCGCTGTTCATAACAAATGCCAGAGCGCAGCTGAATTTGAAATTATGCTGCCATACTTTATCTCGCCAAACTGTACATTTTGGATTTTTGACATACCCAATAACTATTACAAAACAGTGTGAAAGGTCTGATGCAATCATACACCCAGGATGTACATTCAATGTCAAATATGCGAAGCAACGCAGCACCATTTATTAAAAAAAAAAAAAAATTTTAAAGCAGCTATGTTTTCATGTGATCTCTAAAATCCTAAAATAATTACTAGCAGTCTGTTAAATATCGAGTCATTAGCTGATTTCGTCAAAGTATACAAATTCCTTTTAAAATGTTAAACTATCATTTCTGGTACCGTAAGTCAGAAGAATCATGAATCAGGTGGATTAGGAGAGTATCTTAATACTCGCTTTAGATTTATCCAGTAGTGTGAATGTTTTATCATGATCTATGACGCGTAGATCATTACAGGGGAAAAGGTTGATAGCCTATAGGATAGATTTTATAGCAACCACAAGCATCTGTACAAAACTCCGTGCCCATTGATCAAATACAGGGCAAGTGAAAACTGACCAGCTGGTTGGCTCTAGACGTAAAGTCAGAAGATTACCAAACTCATTCGATCTTTCCCTTTCTGGACTTTGAATAATAGTTTTCAAAGTAATCCATCCAATAGCTGTGAAGACATTTCCTTCTGAGCCACAAATGTCAACCTCACACCAGTGATACAGGGAGAGGCATGGAATCTCTAAAGTCAGTAGGATTAACCCTGTAGGGGAATAATAACAATGTTCAGAGTTTGCAGTGCATCCAAAGGTTATTGAGATATTTCAGTCTGAATTGAAGTGTTGGATTTGCTTGATGCATTTCCACTTAAAATTCCTATAAGATTTTGTTCAAGGGACTAGGATACTTCAGATCTACTGTTGTCCAAAGACACAAAATGGGCAAAAGACACAAATTAGTGGGCTGATGTATGGAAAAACGATGCTCGTTTTCTCCAGTAGTATTCATAATAATTCTGGCACCTTCCTGCAATGTTGTCAGGAGATTTGGATAGCTTTTTGTGTACTTTAAAATGTAACTGATTTAAGAAATGAAACATTTTTTGTAACTCACTGCTTTGTTTTCACCAATTACATTAAAGTGGCTTGTTTAGCCACTATTAAACCAGCTCCCTCTGGCTTACTCATCCAACAAAGCATTAGGGTATAAATTTTTCCCAATTGTAACCATATTTTTTGTGATAGATAACCCTAGATAACCCATATTTCTGAACCATGGTATGACGTAAGAATGGTCCACCCTCGCTTCCTTTTGTTGTGTCTTCTCACCTGACTCTCATGCCCTGGAACATCTCTGTATTCGTGTGAAAGGGAAGCACTGTGGTACAGCTGACACCAGGACAGTCCAGCAGGCCCAGTGTCAGGCTCTCCATGAAGGCCAGCGATGAGGCCTTGGAGGTGCAGTAGTCTATGGCCCCAGGGATCGGAGACTGGGACAGGATGGAATTAATGCATACGACATGGCCGTGCTGCAGCTCCAGCATTCGAGGCAGGAAAGCTTTTGTTGTCTACGACAAAAAGAAGAAAAAGAGACTGTAAAAGGTGGAATGAAGGAAAAAGCGGTGAGGGGTGTAGAAATAGAAGGTGAAATATATTCAGAGTAGAAAGAAGAACAGACAAGAGAAGCAAGCCCACACTGTAACGACAGATTAAATTTCCATTTCCATTTAGTTGATAATTGCATTTCTGTCTGCATATGACATAGTCTTTTGATCTCCATTCAAAATAAAAATGCCATGAGTTTCACAACCCTTCTGATGTTTCAGGGGCTGAGAGGCAATTTGGAAATACCCCACTTAACCTGCCATAATAAGAGTCATGATTGACAAGCCTGTGGCTGCCTACTGCATACGGTGCCATGCTAGAATCAAAATATAAAAATGATAAGGATAATCAGCTCAGAGGAATTTCCCTATATTTCCCTGTATTTGCAGGAAAACTGGCTCTGCTACAATGTAATCAAATCTTACCCAGAACTGCCCCATGGTGTTGATGTGTTGGGATTTCAGAAGAGCATCATCATCGCTGTCCATCAGACTCTTGCCATGGACGACTGCTGCGTTGTTCACCAATATCGTAACATCTCCCACCTGAGATTAAAAAAGTGCAAGAATAGGAAGAGAAAACCCTGTCAAAAATGTCAAGCATTTGCTGTCTGCTTTCCTGAAATGATATAGTTGTACTCCACAAGAGCTGTCAACATTCCAAGCTCATATTTAGAGATTTGAGATGAAGTGTAATCTATACACACCAGATGGGAGAAAGAGCAGCTCAAAGCAAATATACATACAGACTAGACGGGGAGGCATCTCAGGGAAATATTTTACGATCTGTTGTGTGCAAATTATATTTCTTCTTGTGCAAGCAGATTTATCTTTTCAAAAACACTAAGCTGCCATACCTTTTCTCTAACCACTTTGGCTTGTTTGTAAACTTCCTCCCGATTGGCCACGTCACACAGGAAGTAATGGCACTCAGTTCCAGAGAGGGTAATTTCTTCAGCTGTCTCTTTGAGGCACTTTTCTGTTCTGCCCCACAGGATCACCTGGTAAATAACAAGATGTTAATTTTCTAAACAAACACACGTATAATCAGTAGAAAATTCAGCATCGAGTGCAAAAAAAAAAAAAAGTCTTTTTTTTAAATTTTTTTTAAAACAGTAATCACTCACTTTTTTTTGGCAGTATAGTGAAAATGAGTTTTTTGAATAGCAATGTTCTTTTTGTTCAGAGAATAGAGAGGGCAATTTCACTCCAACAAATAGTTTTCAAGCAAGATTAAAGGCTCGGGGGTTGGTGGGTGAATGAACTGTCTCTTCATCCACCCGGAGACTAAATGAAGGCTGGTCATTTGAGCAGGGAACATGAGGTTGGATAGAGGTGGGGGACTAGTGATTGGGCAATTAGATCTGTCAGTCTTTGGGGTCAGGGAAAGGTAATGAAATCAGGGGGTGAGCCCTCCTCATCTCTCAAACACAAATTCTCAAAGAGATTACATGGCCTGTTGGGCAGATGAGCCCTGTCATTTCTGGTCAGGGAGTCTGAAAACAGTGCGTGTGTGAAGTGCTGAAGACGCCAGTGTGGGATTTGGCTAGTCGCCCATGACCAAGGTTAATATTTGAGCAAAAAGTCCTCTGGAAAGTGATCTTGTGTATCTCGGAGTCAGAGACTGCGCGTGGGCGCAAGACAGCATGTCTGTTTGCTACCTCGTGGTTCAGCCTGTCATTCTCATTGTTTTACACCAATGAATATGCGTAAACATCCATTTAGTTAGTAGGCAGGATGGATTAGTCTAAGAGATCTAATTAATAAACATGACAAAAGATATTTTAAGATATTTTAGTTTAAAAAAAAGTGCAAAAGTATGCAAGCATGTTGCACAGTGCAACTCTTGCACAAATTAAACCTGTCATCTTCCAGCAACAGCGTAATTTCACACTGTGCCAATTTAAAATTCACTCAACACTGGTTGAGAGCCAAACATAGCACACTAACAAATACAGTAAAATAACTTTCACATTCACAATCTGGAAATAAAAGAAGTCCCAAATTGCTATGTTGCTCTGTTCTTCCAAGTATTCATGTGTCAAAAACTGTCCAAGGCTAATAGCAGCTGAAGCAGACCAAACACACCAAAATTTTTAGAAACATAAAAGACTGCAGTCTAGAATGTGCTTTTTATGCGCTTCATTTCTTTATCAGATCTGGAGCACTCTGGGTTTGCCTCCCTCTGTGAGTGGCCCTGGTTTGAATTGCTTTTGATTAGGTTTTCTGTTTGCTTCATTTGCAAGCCCATTTGAGTAATCAGTGAAGGCAGACAGGTCTTGATAAATAACTGAAAGCTTTTAATAGGAGTCAGGCAAACAAAGCTGACAGTTCTCATTAAAAGTCAGCACTTACATTGTGCTCTCCTGTTAAAATGTTATTTAATTCATTAAGTTTATCACCCGTCACAACATGCGGGATCCTCAGAGCAAACAAGCACTGGCCAAATTGCTATCTGGACAGAAACGTTAAGAAAACAGTTTTTAATTGACCTTGCACAAGCCCTCTTCGCTATTGTTGATAAACTGGTGATTGTTCTTACTTGGCATGCCTAACAAGACCTAATGTCAACACATGCTGTAAGTAAAAGCCCTTTAATGAAACAAATCTATGTTGCAAAGCTTAAAACAAGACTTTGAAAGGTAGACAGCAGATATCCCCAACTAGCTCCAGCTACATTACAGTGATACTCTATCACTCGGGCCTGAATATATGGGTGGGTATGAGCCCTCCTTTTCACACCCATTGTATGGGCAAGCAGAGAGGCAGCACATAGAGGGGGCAGCAGGAGTTCAGGAGGCAGTCGCCTGCCGCTGTCTAATTACTGCGGAGACAGCAAGGTCAGTTGCAGGGCAATACCCAGCTGGGAGTGGTGTGCTTCCCGCCTCCAGCGCAACACAAGCACACCCACACAAACCTGTTGTCAGTGACTTGCTTCGGTTCATCTTCTTTGCAGAGATCTCCAAGTAATGTTAACAACCACATATAAAAGGAAAGAAAAAACGTGTAAACATTTTCCTCCCGAGTTGGTGGTGCTTTTAGGGAGGCTGCAAAATAATTAAACGAGCTCTGAAGAAATATACCATTTTAATTTTCTGAGTATTTACTGGGATTGTTATGAAAGACCCCTCACTGTGTTATTGGTTGCCTTTTTCTATTTTTTTGCCTCACGCTGGCGCTGCTCTCCCCTAATAGTACAGAATAAGACATGGCTCCCCTCCTGGGTCTCCAGCTTTTCATCTTGACTAATTTCCTCCGTTGACATTGAAGTCAGTCTTCCTTACAATGTGAAAAAACTAAAACCTAAGCAGAGGCGAAGGTAATTCTGGCTACTACTGACAAAGAGGCTCAAACAAGAGTTAGCGTAAGTTCGCAGAGGTCAGCCCTATTCACAATTATCCTTTTAGCATCTCTTTAGGCAGGGAGTAATTGTCATACACATTACCACAGGTGTTGTTTTCAAAGCCTTCACACCTTGATAATGCCCAACAAAAGGGTGCTGAAAAGCATGGTGACATCCATTGTTACGCAGCTGCAAAGTGAAGCTTTTAAAACCCACTGGTTTCTTCTAGCTCGTTCCCCAAGGAGATGGCATTGAAAGACAGAAGGAGGCAGTTAGTGTTTCATTGAGCTTTTAGCAATGTTTTCAAGCTGCTGAAATTGCACCTTAAGAGATCATCTGAGACGTGGCGCCTGTGTCACTCGTATGTATAATTGCAACCCAAAGCTATCAGCTGGGCTGCTCAACGTGGGTAGAAATTACCACAATTTTCTTCCACGTGTAATGATGACTCCCATCTGAGGTGATCAAAAATAGAGCTACTCTGTATTGATACATTGCTGCTACAGGGCCACCAGCGACTCATCTGGCACTCAGCTGTGTAATGTTCCCTCAGTAGGATTGGTAGACAAACCACAGCTGGAAATTTTGAACTGAGGTTACCCTGACCTGCAATGAAGACAAGCTGTGTGTGTGTGTGTGTGTGTGTAGTCACCAGAGCATTTTAGGAACAAGAGAAAGCTCCTTGTTAAGGGGATGAGGGATAGTGAGGGAGGTGGGACATGGAAGGTTAATTGTTGTGATGGATGAGGTGATTTCCAATGAAAATTTGAATTTATAATTTATTTTATCTTGGTGATTTATTTAGGAGTAAACCAAGCAACTTTAAGCGTCATGATATGGACTATTCCAACTCATGTCATCAATATAAACTTGTTGTTTTCAGGTAACCTACATATTTTGCTATACATTAATATTCATTTCCAGCTGTATAAAACAATGACAAATCTTTTTTTTCTGTTTACATTGCATTGTGTCTTGAGTATGGAAGATTTGACCCACATATATTACATGATAAGTATGCATTTTAGTTACTGTAACTGGTTAAAAGAAACAAAAAAAAAGATAACAGAATGTGTTCCTTGTTATTGTTTTGCAAACACACCCCACAAAACAATATCTCGTGAACTCATGCTATCCTTGAAAACAACAACTTATCTGTTATTTATTAAGAACATTATGAAGTCTTTTGTTGTGGCATGCTAGTAGACGCTACAGTCTTATGGACACTGCTCAAAAATGCCAAGAAGCTACAATAGAGAAATATCAGAGCTGCATTGACTTGAAGCAGTTTCAGTTACATTTTATGCACTCTAAAATAAACAAACAGCCACATATGGAAAGCCACGGTTAATGTATAGTTTTTACAGCTAAATCTTTGGATGATGCACTTTCTGTGTAAGGCAAAACGCAAAAATCACCCTGGACCCAAGCAGAATCAGCTCAGTACCACACTCAATCATATCAAGCAGCCATAAATGCTGTCCAGACCTGCCCTCTGGTTGACCCAAGCTGTTGTGCAATACCTGAACAAAAATTGTCACCGGTCTTACTGGACAACTAGGTTACTTGGAGGTCGTGATCCCTGCTTTTATAGAACATTGAAACAGCAATACACGTGGGGCAGGGGAGACCAGACTGACCAGGCTACCTGGTGAGGGATGAGGGGGGTGGTTTTGATAAAAGCTGAAAATATAACTTAATATATGACCAAAACAAATTGCTCAGAAAGTAATTTAATCTCGTTGTTAATAATGTGCTGATCTGAAAGGAGTGGAAGGAGGAAAGGTATGTGCAACAAGTTATCGACTTACCTTTCTGGCCCCATGCTTGGCAAACTCTTTGGCCAGGTGTCGTCCGATGCCTCGTCCTCCACCAGTGATCAATACCACCTCCTTGGTGAGGTCTTTCCGTCTGCTTGGCAACAGCAACATCAAACTTGCTCTTACTATACAGTAGAGGATTTGAACCGGGAAAAGAAGCATACGACACACGCTCTTCAGCTCCATTTCGGAACGTGCTCACGGATAGTCTGTAAGTATGTTTACGCTGCAAGTTTACGTGCACCGCAGATATCCGCCAACAGTGAACTGAGTGCGCAGACAGCGACTTCTGAGCTCCTGCAACTTTACCCGCATGCAAACAATATCATCTGCACTGTTGCATAACTAATCCACAGGCGAGAGATATTTTTTTTTAAAAACAGAACAGTGTGACTTGAAGAGCTCTGACAGTCTACATGCATCACGCTCACGAAATCAGTGAGTGATCAGTCATTGCGCCTGTCAACTACCGTCGAGGAGTACAAACGTGAAACACAAGTCCAGGCGACGCTCCGTAGTGCGCGCTACTCTGTGCTTTGGTGTTGCGTTCCTGTTCTGTCCTGTCCTGTCCTGCCTTATATATTACTGCCTCTGCCCTGGTTCGGAACTTCCACTAGTGAAAGGAACTGGATGAACCTAAATAGGAGGTTTGTAAGGGCATTAATCCTGATTGACATGTTAAGTAGGGATGAATTTTGCTCCAGTGCCCGTCTGCCCTGAGTGGCTGCGCACTTGCCTCTTCCACACCCCTTCATGTGGCTACAACAGCGTTTCTCAACATGTGGTCTAGGTCCTCACAGTGGTCGCCGAGCAGCGAGGGTCCCAGCTGGGACCCCAAACTCTCACTTCACAGTTTCACTGATCCGAACTTCACCTCGTTACATAACGCTGGCCACAGAAGAACAATGATGTTGCAATCACAGGTCTCACTGACTGTTGCGAGTCAGTACAAAATCTTCTTATATAATAGCGCCAGATGAATGACTGCCATCGTCAACAATGCCTAATGCCAGTTCTATTAAATTAATTAAATGAAACAAATAAAGAGAGGAAACAAAGAATCAGCTGAGCACCAAACAAACACATAGCTGATAAAGCCCCTAACACATTTGTAACCTCAATAAAAAAAAAATCAGGTCTGGATTGTGTCAAAATCTAAAGTCATATATTTCCTCCACTTTAATGTGCTAGGTTTATTTAAAAAAAAGTGAACATGTTATTTGATTGGACAGTGTGTTTGTACATTTGTAATGGTTTCCAACTGTTGGTATAAAGCGCCACTAGTTGTTTGAACCCAGTCTGTTGTGGTAACAGTATTTTTGAAGCACGCTATATTTTTTCTGCATGTGACAATGCAGTTTGGGAAATAGGTCAGCCCGGTCTCAGAAGCTTGGAAGGATGACAACAATAAAACCGCATGAATACCTCCTAAACAAATCTTGTGAATTCACGAGCCTCAGACAAGATTCCAGTCTGTGATGTTTGGCCCTGGCACTGTGATTTTTACTGGGCAATGCTGAATACAAGACTTTTTCAGCAACTGGGATGGGTTTAGCCTCACAATGGTTGCTTTGTGCAAGGCTCAGTTACTTAGGGAAGACAGAGAGGCTCTCGGGGGCTGCTAAAAACTCCAAGACAACACGACTCCAGATGCTGTCTTTATTTTGCAAATTTCTGAGGTTTACAAAATGCAGATTCAAAGTCGAGAGCCCACTGGAGCTTATGCCAAAGCATATTCCACTGAAGAGATGTCAAATACAGGTCAGTGAATTTGCTAAAACATCATAGTACACATTGCAGTCACTGGCAAATATGTTTAAGCTGCCCACAGAATGCCACAGTGTAAACAGACTGTTTTTCAGAGTATCCTGTTTATTTATACTCATGCTATCACTGCCATCTACAGATCAACAGTGAAAGTTCAGATAAGGGTCTTTTCAGTCAGCCTTCATGCATCTTTGAGTATTTTCTTCCCTTAGACGCTAGACAATAAATTTGCTTCTCATTGCCACGCACAGGCATGAGCAACAGAGCTCATGTAGGAGTCAATATGTTCAAATAAACCTGAAAACACATGCAGACACACACCCACACACACACACACACACACACACATTAGAACCACAGAAAAATGTGAAAATGTTAGTAGGTGTTGGAAGGTATTTTAATGGGAACTATGGAAATGAAAGTAATTAAAAAGCTGCTCTATTAACATAAAATATTTTTTGCAATATCCATAGAGGAACAATATGGTTTCCTTGGGAAACATGTAATTCGTTTGACTACACAGTCATAAAATATGTTGAAGGATATAATTATTTTCCTGGGCAGCAGGCAGCTAAAAATGTCATTAAGTGAGAGCAAGGTCAGAATGCATTGCAGGCGGTTGTGGGAGGGGTGAAAAGAGGCTGAAAGCAGGTACATAAAACATTTACTCCTAATGACTTACCTTCAGCAGAGCAGACCAGCAACACCATGGACATCGGCTCGGCAATTTTAATAATTGGCTTCGCTGCTCTTGTTGCAGCCTTCCTTCTTCTGGTAATTGGACTTGTGTACGCTGAGCTGATGAATTCAGACGTTCCTTGTGGGGTTGCAAATAGAGGGAAACTGCGCATGGTTCATGGATTGTTTGTTGGTATTGCAGTCGTGGTGAGTATCAGTATCTGCAAAAGTCTTAGTGCTTAGTTTTGTATGTTGCCTGTATGGAATCATATCTGTTTTTGTTAACTTTTTAAAATATTCAACTTATCCTTTAGATTAAACGCCTCTTGTGGAGAATAAAATGTACTCTTTTAGGTCATATGTGGATATCCTTCCTTCGTCCTCCAACACCTGATAAAGCTTACATCAGAGAAATTTTAGATAAGAAATCATAACCAACAAAGGTGCAAAGACAAAGTCATGTGTTCTGCTTCTTTGATGTTGTCATGAATGGGGTTTTTTTTTTCAACCAAATAACCTTCACTTTGACTTTATCTATCAGGGTTGTATATATTTTTGTCTCCTATTTGTTGTAAGTCTTTTGTTTCTCTCCTGCCAGGCTCGGATCCTACATCGACTGGGCATTTGTCATCAGGTTAGCTTTACCCGATGGTTCGTGGCCTGTTTTCTCTCTCACCTGAAACAAGTTCCCGCTGGTCTGCGAGTGAAGGACATGACATTCTCAGAGGTGCCAGTGCGAGTATATGAACCTACCTCTGTGTGTGACGGCTTGAGGAGAGGTCTAATGTATTTCCATGGAGGCGGATGGATATTGGGAAGTATAGGTATATGATGTTACAGTCACTTGCTTAACTAAAATAAAAATGCTCAAATACAAGTAAAACCTGACTTCCTCACAGTTACAGTCAGTAATTTTATGACAGTGGAAATGAATTTTAAGCAGCTTGAACTATAAGTAAAAACTATTTTCATTTGAGCGGTATGCAGCATAAGAAAGTTTCAAAATTCCGAAATACTACAAAATTGCACCCAAGTGTAATATTTTTCAGCACAGGTGCAGAAAGGACAAAGACGTGTCACCTTCTGTTTGTGGTTATTTATGGCTTCTTTTCTGCGACGAAGATCTTTTAATAACTCTATCCTACTAATCCTGAACAGATTCTGTTGATGAAGTGTGTCGGCATATTGCCATTGAATCTGACACCACTGTGATATCTGTTGGGTATTTACACTTTTTTCCCCACTCCACATACAAATAGTAAATCTATTTTAACCACCATGTAGCTACAACTTAACATACTGCTCCTTTTCCTTTCACCCCTCTTAGATACCGATTAGCCCCTGAGCACAGGTATCCTGCCCAGCTGGATGATTGTGAGAAAGCAACGTGTCACTTCCTGTCTGTGGCTGAGACAGAGTTCGGGGTGGACTCTCACAGAGTGGCAGTTGGAGGGGACAGCACTGGGGCTAACCTGGCAGCAGCACTGTGCCAAAGGCTGGCGTGCAGTGAGGACCGACATCTGCCATTCCCTTGCGCTCAGGTCCTCATTTACCCAGCCCTGCAGATGGCAGATTTCAACTTGCCTTCCTACCAGCAAAATCATGCTGTGCCCATATTGTTTCGTGGCCGGATGGCATTCTACTTCCTGCAATATCTCAATGGAGATGTTTCTCTGTGCCAAGAAGTGCTGGAAGGTAACCATGTCCCCACTGAGCTCAGGCCACGCTACGAACTATGGTTATCCCCTTCCAACTTACCTCCTGAGTGCCTCACACGTGGTTTCTATAAGCACCCAAGCCCAGAATATGATGGGGAGGTGTATCACGCAATTAAAGAGGGTTTGGAACCTGAGGTTTCCCCTTTACTGGCAGACGATGCTCTCATTCAGAAAACCCCGCGAACCTTCATCCTTACCTGTGAATATGATGTCCTGAGGGATGATGGGATTCTTTACAGGAAGCGACTTCTGGACCTGGGAAAGGATGTCACCTGGCAGCATGTGCTAGATGGCTTTCATGGCATGATTAACTTTTTTAACCAGGGCTGGCTCACATTTCCCTCTGCAGTGCAAGTTGTGGATGGTGCTGTTCACTATATAAAAACACTGTGAGGGTAATAAATAAGATCCTGCAATAAACTTTATTCTACTTCCCATCTTGTCTTACATTTGAATAAACAAATGTGCCTCCAGTGTTTGTCATTACCATTATACTGTTCACAGAAGCCCCCCCCCCCTCCAAATTCATTCCATTCCAAAAATGAAAAGTAGCCCAAGGAAACCAAGTCTGCATACAATATTCTGGCACCTTTTTAACAATACAGAGCAGGCAACTAAAAGGTAAATGGCATTCCTTAACTTTAGGAAATGTATTTCCTTTTAACAAAGATGTAAGACATCTTCTATTTGCTTCCAGGACACTCTGCTTGCTTTACCCACAGTGTTTGCTGTACCCATGGCAACAGAGCTCTTTTTCCCCTCCACTGCTGAAGCGATTATGTAGTCAGGTGAATACACCTACATGCTATCCATTTGACTAGTTAAACTAGCTCCAGCAGGGCTTTAGATTTCCCAGGTGTGTTTGATACTGGGCAAAGTATGAACCAGAAAGCCAATGCACAGGATAAATGGGCCCAAACCGGATGGAGAATAGAGCAGAAGTATGCAAACAAAGTGTTGTTAGGCAACTGGGCTGAAGAAAGACTTCAGGTAGGCATATTGTCTGTTTACGACATGCTTTACTCTACAGTGTGATAATGCAGCATTTCGATTCAGGCTTTCCAACTCTATATCACAGTATGAAAAACATGTTTTTCCAATCTAAATATACAATTTCACCTCAGCCTGAGAACACAGACTTTCTATGTCTTTTCATGCTGTGTCTAAAACACAATACTACATTAATGGCAGCCCGCCAACATTTTTTTAGAACCTGAGTTGGTAGTCAGATCTATAACAAAGTGATTAGGCGGCCTCAGTTCAGCTACATCAGCACAGCCTCCTGGTGGGCGAGAGCTGGAGACTAATTGCATTGATGTGAGTTTTGGCCATAGGCTGCTGGTTCAGGATTTGTGAGGAGAAATGACTTAAGGAATACTGTACAGCAGGTCAATTGTGAAATGTGAGCTCTGCTGATCCTTATGCTGGGATCATTGCTCAAGTCCCTGTATATCCCCCTTGTTCAGTCCACTTTGAGATGTCTGTTTATTCTCTCCGACACAGTTCACTCGCAAGCCAAAGATAGCCTACAGCACCAGTTCTGTAGACTACCGACCCCACAGGGATTTCAAGCCAGACATCTCTGAGAGAAGATCTGCCCTGCTGAGAGCTGAGGTCAGCCTTTAACTGCTCATTCATGGTATTATCACCAATTGAATTCCTGTCAAAAGCCTGCAAGTCAGGGTTTTTTTTCCCCGCTAGAGTGTGAACACTTCTGCATAATACTGATGGCCAAGATAAAGGCCTGTGATAAAACTCTTTATGAAAGCAAGTTTCTGTTCAGACTCAGCAGCAATGAAAAATGTGTAAAATCATCAATCCTACTGGGGACATACTATAGGGTTAGTTGGAGCAATTTGCCGCTGTCACATGGTGAGCCTCTTGAAGATTATTGAAAAAGAACAGGTCATGCCCTCTATATCTTAATCCAGAGAAGGCCACTGTGTGAAGGCTACGTCAAGATCTCTCTATATTGTTATCCAGGGGCTTCCATCTAAGACGATTTTTGGGCACCATGACCCGCCATCCTCACATTATCTGGTCACACAGTATGCGGAAAGCTACGGGCGTAACCTCATCAATGCTTTGCCCACTCTGCAACACAGACATGCAGACAACTTGACACAAAAGCCCGAGAGGTCTGACCAGCTGACTTCTGGTAAGTTCCATGCCAACACTGCCAGAAGGCAGAGATTATACATGGGAAATGACTTTGTACATTAAGCCATTACAAGGAGTATGAGTGCAGTGCAAACATAAGTGCATTAAATCTTGTATGAACAAAATACATCAGCAGTTGAGCTCATGAACAATTAACCTGGGGTGGGTCCAGATGCCTTTTATAGTTCCAAATCAGCCACCGATGTAATTAATGGCTGCAGTAACATGGCAGTTAATGTGCTCTTCTTTTACAGCACTTCCAAACAACTTTGGCCCGCTGCAGACCACAAATCACCATTTTGAAATACAGCAGTCACACCTTCCATCTCTGACTGAGTACAGGTCAGCATACCAGAGGCAACCACTTAGTGCCTTCTGCCAGAGCCGCTTTGCCAAGGCTTCACACATGCTCTCCAGCCACCTCTATGAAGCCAATCGTAACAACAAGGATCTGGATCTGAGACAGCACTTGATCCTACAAGTCCCGGATCATTATTTCAGCCTATGTCCACCATCACAACAGGCTTAATTTTAGTATTGTAGCTATGAAACTGTCTCCAATACTGGTTAATTTAGAAGCTGTGTTTGTGAATTCCCTTTTTCCGTAGTTGGCAACAAGTAAAACCCTAACTCAACAGACCATTTGGGGAAATCAAATGGATTTTAAAAAATTAAAGACAATTCTCATTACCTTGTGAGGACTACTGTAGATTTACACTGGTGAGTTGCTTTAGCATTTAAATGTGTGGGAGGGAGAAAGGGATGGGACTATAAATTATCTCCACCCTTTCAGAGCATAATTACATGCAAATTCTTTCTCTGCGCAGAGTGTATGTGAAACTGGAAATGGGCTCTTAGTATTACTCTAGATACTCTGCGGGAGAAATAAATAAATAAAAATACTGTTGATGCCAGAACTGACCTGGGTATTTAGGTAAAACAGAAGCAATGAGTCATCCAAGGCAATGTCTGAAGGGATGTGTCTAACTCCCATTCCATTAGGTGTTTAATTACAGAGAATCAAAGTGTTTAATTAGGAAGAATCAAAGATGCTTATGTTTGATGGTCAACCATCTGCGTCTGCCTCCCTTTTTCCCACTTGCCTGCTGCCTTCCAGTGTAGCTCTGTTTCACCCACTGTTAGCTAGTTAGTCTCTCTACTGTGCTGCTGATGCCCGTGTGTCACATGACACCCTTGGGTTATGAGAAATCTTCAACACAACACGTCTTACCAAAGAACGGCTGTATTTGCCTCTGAGCCACACGATGGTGCTATAGCAACACGTCACTCTCGCTGTCTTTTAAGTCCTTGCCTTTACAGTCTGTACGGTGAGGAACTTAATTGTACATGAAGAAACAATGAGGGATTTAATATTTGCATCATTCTTATGCATATTCAGTTGTTAATGTAATCAACACAGTAAAATAAACCACACATATTTAGATTGAGCTTGCATTATTCTATTACTTTTTACAAGTCACACAAACAGCAGAATAGACATCTTAATAGAATTAGTCACTAAGTGTGGATTAATATTCACTGAATGACAAATTTCTAAATTCCTCTGATGTTTATAAAACAATAGATAACAAAGTGAAGATATCATTTGGTACAATGAGCTGAGGATGTTCTTAATCTTATTCACATTGAAAACAAATACACATCTTTCTTGCCACCATAGAAGGTGACTGAAATGACAGAAATAACTACAAGTCTGAGTGTTTCAGTGCAGTGACAAATGCTTTCGAAGCTTACCTATTTATATTGCATGGCATACCCATTTACATCATGTCATATCTAAAGAGCAACTGTAAGTAATGACGTTGTATTCAGGCCACTGTGTAAAATATATTTGTGCCCTACACAAGGGGACACAGTAATAGATTAAAATTATATTGTTAAATTCTTGTTCAGTTAGCGCTGAATGATTTCGTTTACTCTGGTGCTTTTTTATGAATTATCTTTGGATTAAAGAGATTAAGCATCTGGGATGATATAAAACTAACATAATAGCAAGAAGAAGTTGCAAATCAAAGTAGCAAACAGTTTCAATGGCAGCACATCCTGTGTAAATCTAGGTAAACAGTAGTTTGACTACCATTAAGAGTCTTATAATTTACATCTATTGCCAAGAATGAGACATGAGGAAAACACAATTCTTTCTGTAATACGCAATCCAATAAAAATAAAGTACTTTTAGAAACAGATGCTTTCTTGCTTTGTGGAAAGGGAATCTTTATAACACTTCAAAAATGATAGAAAAGTGGTTGCAATTTTGCAATGAAATTTGGGGCTGGGCTGAGTTGAACATAAACCTGACCGAAGCAAAACTCACCCAGGCAACAATAAACTTGATGTAAAGCATGCTCTTGTAAGGATACTCAATCACAATCTAATCTTACCATCAATGGAAAATTGAATCCTCATTACACACTAGTCTGCTGAGGCTTCTTATCAGGTAGTGAAAGAATAAAGGGGAAAAGTGTGCCCTTGGCTGCAGAGAGTATGCTCAAATCCTCATCTATGAAAGCAGGAGAGATCTCATCAGCCTCGAACTTCATGGTGAAGTGGCGGCTGACACAATATATTGTGTCATTCATCGCGACACACTGAAACGCAGGGCAATGCAGAATCCGTTTGGAGCTGCACTCATACCACAGTCGGGCCACCGTATGGTAGCGGTACACACTGACACCCAGGACTGGGTTGACATCAAACCGGTACAAAAATCTTCCCACAGCCACAATATCTACAGTCTTGTATTTGCTGCCTACTGTGAGACTTGGCCTCCAGGTGTCAGTTTTGGGGTTGTAGCGTAGTAGCATGTATTTAAGAGTTCCTCCAGAAACAAAAAGCTCTCCATCGCACACTGTCACATGGTGTGCCACAGCGAATGTATCATTAGGCAGAGGAGCCACAAATGTCCATCTGTCCAATCGTGGGTCGTAGCGCTCCACTGTGGAGAGGCACTCTCCTCCAATTGCATATATGTAGCCCTCCAGTGCTGCCAGTTTGCAGCGGGGCCTGGCTTCATTCATAGGACTGATCTCTTTCCAAATGGATGTCAAAGGATTGTAGCAGAACACTCGCTTTGAGGGTGTCATTTCTCTGTCAGTGCCTTGGCAGCCCACTGCCACGAATAAGTAGTTATCCATTGTGCACATAGCACAGGCTTTAGAGATGACCTCCTGTGGGATTAGGCAGAGTGTATGCCAAGTGTCTTTGTAGTCATCATAATAGTACACTGCGCTTGATGTCCTCCTCTGCTCTGATGTTGCTCTGCGCCCTTCAGTGTTGCTGACCCAATCTTGAGGATCCATGTCTGCAACCATGACAAACCTCTTCCCCCTCATTCTTTGTCTCTGGATTTGTTCCCGCTCCCCAGCCATTAGCCGCCCATAAAGGCTGGGATCCCTGAGCACATGGAGGTAGTTATCAGACATGACCCCCAGGGCTGCTTTCTGCAAAGATGTCTGGCCATGTTTCTTAGCAAGGCACAGTGTCTCCAAACAATTACCCAGATCAAGCTTACTCTTTAAGACTTCTAAATCTGTGTCATCAAGAATTTTTGCTTGAAAGTCTAAAAATGGAGCCCCTTCTGCAGTCTCTCTATCTATCCCCTCCTTCACATTAAGGATTTTGCTGTCAGTAGCAGGACTGATAATTGGGTGAACAGAGAGAGATTCATCGCCAGCTATAGCCCGAGAGTGGGTCACTGGAGTTGAGGCTCTTGAAGTTAGAAAGGGGATCGAAAGCTCAGACTCCTGTGCTGCAGACAGATAGCTCTCTTTGCGTAAGAGTACAGGCCTTGGGGGTTTTCTCAGCTTGAGGCACCCTGGCGAGGAAGCATCTTTAACAGTGCTTTGTGGTGAAACCAGATCACGAATAGTGATGGGGTTTAAAGACGATGGAGACTCTCTGAAACTGCTGCCATGGCTTCCAAGCTCCCCTGGCTTTGATTCAAAGTCCCTCTCATACTGAGAAAGTACCGTATTAATATCTGTAATAGAGTGAGAAGATGACTCAACATAGTAATCATATATCTTTCCACGCACAACCTGGTCTCCTTTCCCTTCTAGCACTATGTTTGCATCTTCCACTTTGACCTCTGCCTTGGAGAGGAAGCTGGAGTAGGACCCTTTGCTCTCCAGGTCCTGTCTTAACTCTCGGCCCACACCCACACTTCTCTCCAGCTTCTGCAAAATGCAAGGGGAGCGCCGCCCCGTTGTACTGACCATCCCACTCTCTGTTGGATCAGGGAGTTTCAGAGCAGATCCAAACATAACATTACTGGTGGCAACCTGTCCCTGCTTCTCATAAGTGATTATCTCTTCATCCATGCTGGTATCGTGGTCATCGTTTGTTGCAAACACATCCTCACTTGTTTTAACCTGATGTGTCAGGTCATCTGAATCTGCTAGCAACGATCTGGATTGCTGGCCCGCATCATCTGTCTCATGTTTTGTTGAGCTTTGATGTTGAAGTGTTGTCTCGCAGTTTTGGCAGGTTGCATTTCCTGGCTCTTTGTCTTTGACATAGAGCTGGATTCTTCTTCGATGCCTGGAGCTGTAGAACCTGTAGCCCCAAGAAACCAGCAGCACTGCAGCCGCAGAGACACTAAGTTTCCACAGCAGCTGCATGTCGAACTGGACTCCCAAAAGCTCCGCAATGGGCATAGCTGTAGCAATGTTGGTGGCAATAGTTGGTTGGCTGATCCTATTGAGCGTTATTGTCAGTGCATCTCAGCTGATAGTAACTGTCTGGTTGTCATTGTAAGAGAGCTGCTGTGATCTGATGACTGTGCCTCCGTGCCCAAAGGATCAAGTGTAAAATGATAGCTCTTGAGGCACAATTTGCATCACTGGCTCTGCAGAGGCGGGGCCCTTTCATGCACCACCTGTGGCAAGTCACATGCAGCTTCAGTATCCATACACGGAATATGTAAATACGCCATAGATCAATATTTGGTTATGCAATTTGTTGACTCAACAAAGCCTTTTCCCACAACTATTCAAATGTTATGTTGTGTAATGGAAGAGTTAAAGTTACCGCAATACAAAGCCTTACTTTGCAGGGTTACGTTTCAGTTTCGGCATCTTGCTGTTTTCATGCATAGAATGTATTATGTACATTTCTAAAACAATTCCCCAAAATATTATGAGAGATAACTCTTCTTCACTTGCTCAAACATACTTCTAGCTCTCCAGAAGGAAATCATGGTTTGAATAAAGGGCGGGGAGTAATGATACCTGACATTTATCAAATACTTATTAACCAGGATACATCTGTTTGCACAGCCATGCTCCATATTAAAGGTCCTTTCCCTGCCAGCGCAGATGCTTAAGTTAGTCTCTGTTAAGATGATCTGAAGATTAGTATCAGAGACTTAAATGGCAGTCACATGCTATTATAAACACAATAAAGTGTACAGAGCACCATCTGAACAATAAAAGCATGTGTAATGCAAATAAAATGGGAAGTCTTTGTACACATAACCTTGGGAGTGTCATTTATTTCTCTACACTATACTAGATTCAAACATGTATTTCTGCCTCATGGGAGATTTGTTGCTCAGTTGCTGCTGCCAAGCTGCCATTTGTATTGTTGATAACACAGCAGCGAGGCTGTGGTCAACAACAAAATAGTATTCATTTTAACAGCGTGTTTAGAAGCATTGTAAAGATGCATCACGTGAGGACTCGTACAGAGGGTGTGTCAGATTTCCGAGCCCACACTGGCAATGTTTGGTCATCTGATAGGACAGCCTGCAGACAACAAAAAGGAAACTGGACTCTGCAAGCACATTTGCCTCCTGAATAATTCACAAATGCTCTGTGCAACCTCTTATCCTCACCACTGCTTCTAGCTTCAGGTGGAGCATTCAGAAGACGATTATCATGTGCATTGTAGTCATGTGCTTTCACTTCTTTCTTATAAAACGACAACATGTGACTGAAAATAAAGAAAGCATAGTAAGTGAAACTAAAACCTTTTTTAATAGATTCTTGCTTATGCACAATGTTTTTCTTTTGGATTAAAGAAAATGTGACAAAGCAGTGCATTTAAAGGCTCTTTTTTCTTATCTATTGCATATTTCTGGTCCACGATAATATGGTTATGAATTTAGTACTCATAGCTACTGCTAAGATGTGGACAACAGTAACACAGCCTTATCCACAAACTATTTAGGACAGACTTCTTCTGGCATGATGATTAAATCATATAAAGCCAATTGGCACATTGTATTGTATTCAGAAATGGACCCTTTTTTCTCACTTGAATGTAAAATGAGTGAGTGAAAGCAAAAAGCACAGAAGTGCCTCTTGAATAAAAATTACAATGATAGCCGAGTTAGAATACTATACAGTGGGTGGACAAGGATTTGTGCCCTTTGCTTCCCTTGCCAGATAAAATGTCATTCAAAGCACATATGACTGTTTGTTAATAATGTTTGTGCTCTGCAGCTCTCATCTCCCGTATGCAGTATGCAATATGGATAGTACTTTGGCAAGGTGAGCTGATATCCCAAACAGATAGGTCTATCCTTTTGGTTCACCTAAGCTTCAAAATCTCTCCTCTTACCTCCCACCTGGTTTAAACCTTAATCCCTTAATACATGTTGGGTCCTTAGAATAGCTTAAATTGCAATTCTTGTGAAGTCCAAAAAATGCAGGATTACATTGCATTAAGCTATCTTTCACTGAAAGGCCAGAAGAGTTAATGGCAATGTCAGAATCTCCTTCTAAAACCACGTTGAGGTCCATATCATTAGAAAAAATCAAAAAGACGTCTTTTTCTCCACAGAGTCGATCAGCACACGTTCTTATACATTATGGTGGGATTTTATTTAATTAATTTCAACAGTTCTTTCAGCCACCTTGATTAGCATGTGTCTTCGGTATGAGTAATAATGCTGCATATCGCCTGTACACAGCATTAAAAGGCTGGACAATAAAAATAATTTGTAAAACACTGTTTTAAGCAAAGTCAAGGCTTTTGAGTTTTGTCATCTCTCCATTTTAATAGGGGTGAAATGAAACAAATGCAACAACCCTGTTTACACAAGCTGCCTCAGGTGAACTCCTCCCTGGGATGGCGGCTAAAATGATCCTACTAGTACTGTAAATGTCTGGGTAAGAGTTACGTATTGTACACAATGTAGGTCACTTAAGATAGTATGTCACAAGTAAATAACTGGATTACAGGCCAGTGACAATGAGTTGCAGTGCTGTCATTTGCAACACACCAAAAGGAGAAAGAATCTTCAAACGTCACATGCACCACAACCCCAAAACAGCAGACATATGTTAGATACTTTTTACTCTGTCCTTGGAGACCTGCCATATAGATATAAAAAGCCAAAATGAGAAACAAAAAGGCTGTTAATGTTTCCATCCTTTTCAGCCAAGAATTATCTCTGAAAACAGAGTTGAATGAAGTACAAACAAGGGTGGAGGAGTGTAAACTCCAATTATTTCAGCAACCATCCCTCACCATAACCCATATAACCTCTTTTAATTATTTTTCAGTATTTACACTGATGTACACAAAATACACTCAAAATGAGATTTTTTTTCTAGTTTCTGCATTTAAATCCTCTCGTACATTCTGAGCCATCAGAAAGAAAACAAAAGAAAAGAAAAAAAGAAATTTGTATATTAATAAAAAAGCGTCTCCACTTCGAGCATCTGTATTTATTCTCCCATGGTTTATCAGCTTGCTCTCAGTCAGGTACATCCCAGGATATGTAGCAGGTGTGGTTGATGTGGTGTCGCAGTCTAAAATCAGTTCCATTTTTCACATCTCAGTACCAATTTCAGTACCAATAATATTGTGAGTCAATAAAATAAAATCCAAATGCTTTTTTTCTTTTCCATTTCAAATCAACTGATTTTATTGGTCAACAGGCAGACGTGGGACAAGAAACGAAAAAAAAAGGTGTAACTGGGCGGGGCTATATAGGAGGTGGTTACCGTCATGTTCATCATGTTGTTCTTTTCATATCATTATCTTGGTTATTATTTTTGTTACAAAAACAGTGTAGAGCCATCGTGTGGTGGCACTGTTTCCTGATCGACTGACGTATGCAGGGTCTGTTGATGACTGGAGAAGGCTTGTGGGACTGTGGGAATTAAGTTTTGTGTGATTGTGTGTGTGTGTGTTACTGTGTGCATGTGTTGATGTTACATAAGAAGGGCAAGTATGTGTGAGCGAGAACGTCTTGGATGAGAGGTTTCACGTCAGTTCCACTGTCACTGTGAGGACAAGTGCCATCCACGTTAATCCGAGCATATCCATGCGGGGGGCTTCATCTACAAAACCAAAGAAAACGACAATCAGACTGTTTCATTCATCGTTTTGATGTATTGTAGTGCATTAATAATACATTTAAAAACACAAAGCAATTGTTCATCCCACTGAGCAATTCTTCTGAATTATACTCGTGTTTGAAGTGGCTAAATATGTTATTTACAGTAAAATAGGAATTTCATTGAGAAGGGATTTTTAAGGGCATTGAACTGTTCTATGTTTTCACTCAACTGAAAACAATTAAATAAACAAGACCATATTGTGATGGGATCATAACAGCTGCCAGTGAGTTCTCCCACCAGGCCTATTGTGGAAAATATTTTTATGTTTATAAACCAGATAAAGACACCTATGAGACTTACAAATACATTAAGAATGCAAAAGACTGTGTTAACAGAGCTTAAAGCGGCTCAAGGCCTACTCCAGGTGCCCTTTACCCAGTACTCACGGGTGACATGACACCAATCTTCACAACCGATCCCAACTATACACCTGTAAAATTTTGGGACTGTATCTTGCACGGCTGTCCACATACCCATCTGAAAGTACTTCAAACCACTTATTTGACAGTTCCACCTATAGTAGGCATCCCCAGGACCAGATTTTGCCATGACACACAGACAGTTAGACAGACTTACAAGGTGAAAACAATAGTGGCCATGCTGCTGTAGCTTATAAAATTGTTTATGGCACACACATAAACTATTTTAACCTGATTGTTGCTTATAGACTGAGACTTTGCTTCATCAGAAGAACATTTCTTCTCTAAATGTCTCAACTCAGGGGCTTGAAATCACTTGAGGTACAGCTGCAATCAAAATTATTTAGCCCTGCTGAGCTGTTAAGGGTTTATCTATTAAACCTTCCAAAGATGTTTATAAATTTTTATAAATCACATTTGAGTCAAGAGATGTAATCAAAATAACATGTTTAAAATGTTTTACATCTTATGTAGGTGGATGACATTTTTGAAATACATCCATTCATTAATTTTCGTAACTGTGTGTTTAATTCAGAGTGAAATATAGAAATGTAGATGAGAATGATTCAATTATTTCACAAAACTGTTGTTTTTAAATAACTTACTATTAAACTTACCACATGTCAGGATATAATTAAACTATTGGGAACTAAAATGCTATAACAGCACCTGAATTTGCTTCAGCTGTGATAAAGATGTACCAAAATCTTGTCTCAGCACGTGCTCCAGCTGTGTAATCAACTTGGCAACCTGAGTTACTGTTTTAAAGGGTAACAGTTATATCACCAAAGTGTATTAGTTAAAGACATGAAAGGCCCAGACAAGAAGACATCACCAACAAGACAAGCACGCATGGATGTGGTTGCCTTTAGCTGTTGCAGAAAA